GCTTTGTTTCCAGTTTCTGTATGTTCGCCCAGTCGAACTTTGATTTGCTTTGAAGAAAAAATAAAATAAATTTTTATTAGTAGCTGAACTCATTTCCGAGCTGCCTACGTACCCATTTCGGGATCAAGCCACACCGTAGTTCATGTACATAGTAAAAACGTGTGTCTTAAACATAAAATTTCTTTAGGTTGATTACATTCCAAGGTCGCTTGACTGGCCTATCTTCCAAGTCTTTCAACCTATATACGCCACTGCGAACCACTTCGGTAATAATGTAAGGTCCTTCCCAATTAACGCCGAGTTTCCCTGCGCCTTCTTCCTTTTTATTGTCAAAAACTCATCTTAGCACATAATCCCCTACGAAGAACGGCCTATTTTTGACTTTGGAGTTATAGTATCGAGCTGCTGCTTGCTGGTAATTTTGAATCCGAATTAGAGCTTGATCTCGTCTTTCATTAATGGTATCTAGCGAGTCATCGAGCATTGCTGAATTTTCCTCTTCATTCGACGGTGCTTCTGTTCGGCGAAGGCCAGGTACGTTGAGTTCAGCTGGTACTACTGCTTCCATGCCATAAATCAGAGAGAACAGAGTTTCTCCAGTAGGTCGCCTAGGGGTTGTACGGTAGGCCCATAGGACGGGTTGCAGTTCATTATACCATCCTCCCTTTAGGTGATTCAAACATTTTTTGAGATTGCTCAGAATTGTCTTGTTCGCGGCCTCGGCTTGGCCATTTCCTTGTGGATACCGTGGAGTAGAGTAGCTGACTTTGATTCCCCATTCCGAACAAAAAGCTTCGAACTCGTGTGAAATGAATTGTTGTCCATTATCAGTAACTATCTCGTATGGAACTCCATGTCGGCATATGATATTTTTCCAAATGAACGTATTTACCGCCGAGTCTTTGATGCTAGCGTATGCTTCAGCTTCAATCCACTTCGAAAAATAGTCTGTCAAGACCAATAGGTATTGTACTCCTCGAGTTGATCTGTGCAATGGTCCAATGATATCCATCGACCACCCATAAATGGGTACGGGGCAGAGATGGAGGAGAATAACTCCGAAGGTTGATGGATCAATGGTGCATGAAGTTGACAACGTCTACACCTTTGGGCGAACTTGACGCAATATGTGATCATTCTTTTTATTTTAAAAGCCATAGCCCTTCCAGACGAATGACTCCCACACAGCCCTTCGTGTACTTCTCTCACGACGATTTCGACTCGGGTCCAAAAATGCATAATAGATAAGGGTCACTGACACCTCGCCTATACAACGTATCCTTTGATAGACAAAATTTCGCACTAAGGATTCTCATTTTCCTGGCTTGCCACTTATCTTTTGGGAGCTCGCATGTCACGATGTAGTGCTTTATTGGCTCCCTCCAATCAGCCCCCCAATCTTTAGCCGGAATTTGGTCAATTTCGTGAAATATTCGCGGTTCCGGTTCGGGATGTTCATTTGGTTCGAGGTCTGGTTCGGGATGGTCGTCTTCGATTAATGGTCCTGTTTCTAGAACTGTTTCTGGAAGTATATCTGGCTCCTTGCTATTGCTTTTCTTAGATAAGTCGGGCTTAGATATATTCGACTTCTTTGACTTCCTCCGTTTGACAGGTGGCAGTTCGATCTCGGGTTCACCACGATCACGCGCCGCTGCTCGAGATCTTGTAACAACGAGAGCTTCTTTGTCAGCCTTAATGCTTCGCTCCGAGATACATTCCACCGGAATGATTCTTTTTAGTTCAGGATCTGACGTTGATGCTAACGCGGCAAGTGCGTCCGCGGTTGTATTTTCTCCTCGAGGTATGCGAATTAGTTCGAACTTTTTGAAGTCTTTGGACAGACCCTTCACTACTTCGAGGTATGCCTCCATTCTTGAGTCTTTGGCTTCATAATCGCCATTGAACTGATTAACTACTAATTGCGAATCACAATAAGCAATCACTTCTTCAGCTCCAACTCCTTGCGCTAGTCGAAGTCCGGCAATTAGTGCTTCATACTCTGCCTCATTGTTAGAGGCATTGAATAATAAACGGAACGATTGTTCAAGAATTTCTGATGTAAGAGATTCCAACTTGATTCCTACCCCGGATCCTTGTTTTGATGAGGATCCATCTACATATAGTTTCCAAGTCTGATTCTCCGGCTGTTCTGGCGCGCCCAGTACTGGTAGTTTAGTTAGGAAATCTGCCAAAACCTAAGCCTTCATGCTGACCCGACTTTTGTATTCTACTGCCCATTTCGCCAATCGTCCGGACTGGTTTGGACTATGAAGTATTGTTCGAAGTGGTTGATTGGTTAATACTTCGATTGGATGGGATTGGAAATATGGTCGTAACTTTCGAGCAGAAGTCACTACTGCAAGGGCAAACTTTTCCATCATTGTATACACTCAAATACTTGTTTATTTAGTGGGCAAGATTATTCTTAAGGACAAAGATCAATATATAAAAAGCTGCTAATTGCTGTAGAAATGGCTATAGTATATTTGCTAGAAAAATTGCTTGTTCTCTTACATGGCTCTTGGCCCTCATACTTATACTAATGAATACATTTAACTCCTAATTAAATATAAATATTCTCTCTTTAGTGTGTCCGTTACAGTCTTTGAATTTAATGTTCGAACGTTTGGATTTGAATTAACTTCGAACTTCATGGACTTCGCCTTTTAGCCCGAAAAGTCCCGAACCGAAATAATCTTGACTTCGACTTCGCCCCTACCTCGGGGTACAATCACTTCGACCATGTTCTTGGGTTTATGAGTCCAACGGGCCTTATCCCTTGTGGGATTCTATCCTGCTTATGTGGCAATCTTTGGTTGGTCCCGAACCACCCGTGCGGGATCCGACACCAACAGTGATGTAGGACGTTGGATATGAGTTGGGAATAGGCCACTCGTACAGCTCCGCTTTAGTTCGACCTTGGAGTAACCGGACCCCCTTTTTGAGATCCTTCACCTGAAAGGAAGCCGGGAAAAATTCAACCGAAACTTGATTAGCATTACAAAGCCGATAAACTGAAATTAAATTTTTCTTAATTTCTGGAACATATAAGACATCACGAAGAGATAGTGATTCAGAGGATGAGGGTAGAGAGGCTGAACCGGTGTGAGTTATTTTTAAACCTGAGCCGTCTCCAATGAGAACCTCTTCTCCTCCTGTATAGGGCTGATGAAGAGCCAGATTGTTGAGATCCGTTGTTATGTGATGTGTGGCTCCAGATTCAAGTACCCACGGGTTGTACGGGTACGGAGATGGAGCGGCAGTGACAAAGTTTGCTCTTGGTTGCCACGAGGTTGGTGGAGACGGAGGCGTTGGTAGCAAAGGAGGGTTACCTAGCGCCTGAGTTTGGTATGATTGAAGTTGGTAGCAGTGTTTGGCAGAGTGTCCTTGGACACCACAGATCTGACACTTACCAAGGTATGGTTTGAAAGGACCACGAACCTCCGGTGCACGAACAGAGTTTTGCTTCCAAGGTTGGTTGCTTGGCGGCTTATAGGCAGAACGATTGCGGTTGTTGGAGACATAGTTGGCTGTGATAGGAAACGTTGCTGGTGCCGTAGCTGTCATGATTTTAGCTTCATGGTTAAGAAGCTTCTCATGAAGTTCTGTTATGCTTGGTGGAACATCACGGCCCTCCATCTGGTCAACAACAGATTTATAGTCTTCGGAGAGACCCTGGAGAATGTAGTCAACTTGGTCTTCATGATCAATGATCTTACCAAGAATAGCCAACTGATCAAATCGATTTGTTAGTCCCTGAACATATTCATCAATCGTACGTGTACCTTTCGACCACTGCTTGAGTTGATGCTTGAGTTGCTTGATGTGACCACGACTCGGCTTAGCATAGGTTAAGGCAAGCGTATTTCAGACGTCAGCGGCGGTGTTGGCACGAGAGACTGTGGACTGGACAGAGAGGGAGAGGGCACCAATGAGAGCAGAGTAGATCAGGCGATCTTGTCTGGTCCAAGCTTCAAAAGCAGGATTTGGTGAAGTGACAGCGTTGACAATGATCTCCTTGTCTGGTACGGTGGTAAAGGCATCGAGATGCTTGTCGAGACCGTAACCGTGGAGGATAGCGTGAACTTGGCGGCTCCACATGATGTAGTTGGAGGCCGTGAGCTTGGTAACATTGAACATGTTAATGTTAATAATGGAGAGGTAGCGGCGAGAGTGATGGTTTCGGCAGCAGGGGTAGCCATTGTTGGAGAAGAAAAACAGAGTATGAAGAAGACAAAGAAGACAAAGAAGAAAATGAAAAATGAGAGGAGCAGCTGCTTTTAGGTTTCTAGGTATCTTTTACTGCTCTGATACCATATAGAATATGGATTGTGAATTGGATGATTCTTATTGATTGAGTACAGAGAGTATATATACAACTAAATGATTCTAGAGACTTATAATACGACATTATGACAATATATACACTTTACATATTAGGAACATTGATTGATTCCTGTGATAATTGTGATTGATCCTTGATATGTTCCTGTTGTAAAAATTCATCCTCCTGCCTCTCTTTAACTTAATATTACAGCGGTTTCACCTCACAAAATACTAGCCAATCCGATTGTTTCCCCTTCGTTTGGTCTTTGGTTATACGACTATCAATTACTATCACAAGATAGTGGCTAAGTAGATCACTATAGTCTTTACTTCAATACTACAGTTTCCTGTCACAATGTAATCGCTAGTATAAGACTATTTTGCTACCATTTTATTTTGTGACAAACAATTTGTGAAATTATGAGTAATCAACTAATCATCTTATTAGAATTAGACTATATTTAATGGTTAGGTCTTTGATTCGTTTGGCAGAAATGCAGCTTCTGGATCACGACTGAACCACAGATAACCTTACAACAAAGAACTGAACTAGTGAACTGTTCTGTTTTCAAGTTTGAGATCTTAGAAAAAAAAAAAAAAAAAAACTTACTTAACACCTATGCAAATGAAGGAAAAAAACACCCAACGCAAAAGAAAACAAACATTTTTTCTGGTTAATTTTTCGTTCTTCCTGACAAAACGTAAAGAAACTAGACGTGATACTCACGCAAAAATTTTGATATCTGAGCTAATAATGGTTTAGCAAGCTAACTGGTTAACATAAACGAAATAAATAAGAGGAATTAAGAAAATCAGGATTAATAATCCTGTAACACCCTCGTGTTTACTCTTCTTTACGGGCTCTTTGGCGGTTTCAAGTTCTGCTTCTGTCTTCTTCTTCTTCGAAGGCTCCTCAGTTTTGGGTTCTTCCTCATCATCAGCCTTCTTCTTTTTATCTTTGTAATAAACTTCTTCTTCTTCGAAGGCTCCTAAATCCCCTCCTTCAAGATTTCTCAAACGCGCTTCCAGCTATCAGAAAAATTAGACCATCAATGAAGGAAGTAAAATGTAGATAGGATGAGGCATGAGAAGAAAAATATTGAAGAGTACCTTTAAGCGGGTTTCCACTCCCATTGTGTTGTCTTGTCCATCACCAAAAGCATCACACCGTATAGCAAGAGCAGCTTTTGCAGCTAATGACCGTGAGATTTTACCCTTGTGCTCTGGTGCAGCTTGGCTAACCACAGGTGCATGGTAAATCAGACCGTGCTTTGGAGTGGCGTGGTTCATCCTGCGGGCTCTATATAGGGCCTTTTCAGCTCCAAGAATCTGAATCGTGCTCCCAGGTAGCTTTGCGAGGTTTAATAGACTACCACAATGAGAAATAAGGCGAGCACCGACTAGCTCCCCGACAAGGGCAGTTAGATTTGGTGCAATTTTGTTCATTCTACTCTTCAAGTAGTCATTAAGCTGAGCTCTGTACTCAGCAAGAGACAGAATCTGGTCACAGAGTTGTCGGATGTGAATCAAATCAAGGTCAGTGACTTCAGTTCCCATAGATATCACAGCAACCTCTTTAAGTTCTGCTTCAACTTCATCAGCCAATATCTGAGATGACATTGGACACAGAAAGATGTTATAAAAAGGCCTAACAAATTAAAGCAAGTCAAATTTCGGAAACCGGTAAATAGGGATTAACCTCGGAGAAGTCTAGATTTGCAGCATTAATCCGATTCCCCATTAGTTTAACAGCCTTGGCATATAAGATATTGTCCTGTACGATCTTCGCAAGCTCGGGAAAATGCAAACCGTACAATTCACGAACCCTCATAGCGTAAGTGTTACGCTCTTTGTCAAGATCATCAAGAAGACCAATAACTTGGATTATCATGGTCTCCACCTAACAAAAAATAAAGTATGAGGGAAAAAGTAAGATAAGCAAGCGTAAAACAAACACAGAGGAACTCAATGACTACCTTATCAGAGGTGATTTTTAGTTTATATCTAGCAAGGATGTGAGACAATTCCAGGCTCATTGGAGCTAAATCGTTATCATCCAATCCGGATAAAAGTTCGGTTAACTGGCTTCTCACACCGCGTAATAGCTCCATAACAGCGTTGTTGTGAACACATTGTACGTCCTAGAAGAGAGAAGCAATTCCGTAAGAAACAAGCCATATTCAGAAATAACAAAAAAAAGGATCATAACAGAAACTCCGAACGAAATACACACCAGTTTCTCAGTGATAATATTTCCAATATTTGAATCAGCCACCGCTAAGGTTTCACCATCACCACAGTTATTTTTCAAGAACTTGCGTAGACCTTTGCTTGAAGTTCCCTCTACCAATTTAGCCACTGCTTCAAGAGCTTCAGATGTATTGTCAAACTTATGAAAAGCTATTAGCCTAACCATCTGGAATAACACACCAAAATTATTAGCCATGAGAAACCTACACTAAAAGTCATATTAGCCAGATACAAAGTTTGAACAGAAATAAAAAATCACCCTTCGAGCTGACTCTGCAGACGAGAACTCATCACCCAAATCCTACAAGCACAACTTTGACATACTTAGAAAATAAAAACAAACGAGACATATACAAAGTTTAAGAGCAATGAAAGTAAGAGAATGAATAAAGTAAATAACCTCAACATTAGAGAGCTTTCCTTCATCTAATACTTTAAAGAGTGCAAAACCACCTGACGTCTCAAACAGTACTAGCATCTTTACAAGCTATCTTAAGTCAGTCCCTGAAAAAACACAACAAGATTAAGAGAAACCCTTAAATTAACTCAACGTCACAATCAAAGTCAATATAAGTTAGAATTACCGAAGTTAATGTTTTGAGAGCTAATTAAAGCCACTAAGGTACTAAGCAGAATACAAGTTAAGGCCAATACTATGTTCAAATTCTTCAAAATCGGACAAAAGAACAGAACTATACTTTGTCAAAATCTAGAACTTGAAAGCCACGTTCCACTGACAAAGACGGCGAGAAAGATTCAGTTAGAGGGTTTACGCACAGCAGCAGCGTTAGATAGAGAAAAGACAGAAAGCGAGAGAGAAGAAAAATAGGAGCAACGAATATGTTAGGGCTTTATGGTATTGAAGATTCTAAATCGATAGAAGATAAATATATCTTATATAAAGTCTATCGATAAGATTTTTACACGTGTAACACAATGTTTTCCTTTTATTAATTTTAGAATATAAAAGTATAATTGTAAGAAAATAGAAATTAAAATAATTTAAAAAATGTAAAAAGATAATTTATAGAAACTATACATATATATCTTATATAAAATGATTTTAAAAATGCAAAATATAATTATTAGGAAACTAGATGTATCTTATTATTTCAAAATAGAAATTATAAAATTATTTACTAATTCGAATTTAAATTTTCCAATTCTAAAAGAAAAAGAGTATTTTTTTCCTTAAAATTAAAAAAGATTTAAGAAATTATATACCTAATTAATAAAAAGAGCACTTCGGTGTATTTCTACCAGAGCTGACCGGATCGGTCGATAGGGTTTATAAAAAAAGATAATTAAGGAAAATATATAATCAAAAATTTTAATAAATTATGAAATTAATAAATAAAATACAATAATTAAGAAAATTATACAATCATTTAGTAATTCTAGAATAAAAAGGATTGTAAAAACTAGCTCTATATAAACAAGAGAAATTGTTAAAAATTCCCCTTTTTCAATACCTCTTTCAAAAATGCCCCCTTTGAGAGTCCATTTTTAAGTTTGCCCTCTTTTAATTTTTAATGACCATTTTACCCTTATTTGAAACAAAATTAGGTCCACAAAATACAAAATATTTTTTGGCGGGAAAAGTGATCCCGCAATTTTCCCGCCAAAACACTTGTAAAAACCTTTAAAATACCTTGTAAAATTTTCCCGTAAAAATTTTTTCTGCAAAAAAAAAGTGATTCCGCAATTTTTTTGGCAAAATTTTTTTGGTGGGAAAATTGCGGGAAAAATTTACAAGGTATTTTAAAGGTTTTTACAGAGTATTTACAAGTGTTTTGTAAGGTTTTACAATGTATTTTAAAAGGTTTTACAAGGTACTTATAAGGTTTTATAAGGTATTTATAACTTGTAAAATCTTATAAAATCTTTAAAATACCTTATGAAAAACTTGTAAAATCTTATAAAATAGCTTGTAAAATCTTATAATATCTTATAAATACCTTATAAATATGTTGTAAAACCTTTTAAAATACATTGTAAAACCTTATAAATACCCTGTAAAAAACCTTTAAAATAACTTGTAAATTTTTCCTTATATATTTGTGATATTTTTATTAAAAGAAGGGTAATTTAGTCATTTTTTACATAAAAAGGGGTATTTTTAAAAATAGACAGCCAAATGGGGCATTTTTGAAAAGGGGTATTGAAAAAGGGGCATTTTTGTGAGTCTCCCTATAAACAAATAGATAGTCTCATATTTTCTCATCAAACAAAAACATTTCTTCCAAAGCACTAGTGCTTCAACTTCTATCTATTGCTAAGGCTTTTTTTTTTGGGTAAAAAATCTTTTATTTTTCTTAAACAAAAACGAAATATTACAATTTTTTTACATGTTATTAGTCAGTAAAATTTGGCATGTATTAAGATTTTTTAAAAATAAAATTCATTTAATATAGATTACCTAATAAAAATGACTTTTGAAGTTCCAAATAACAATATAAGTTATTAACATTAATTTAATTGGATTAAAATTGTACTTATCATTGTATAGTGGTTTTATTAGTTAAATGAAAACATAAATTTTTTGAAAAAGTAATGAGCTTATAAGAATATATTTTTTATTACTTGATGAGAATATTATTATATTTATACTTCTCTTTTATTCTAAAAATTTGAACTAAGTGAAAACACCAAAATTTGGAAAAATGGCTTATAGGAATTAATTTTTGATTACTTGATAAGAATGTTAGTTATGTTTGTTATTTGTTAATTATGTTTGTTATTTGTTAACTATGTTAATATTAACTAAGATATATATTTGATATGATATACATCTTATTTTGATATAAATGTTTTTAGCACTTATCTATTAAGATGAAGTGTGTAGAATTAAATATATCTTCTTATTTAAAAATTGGTTTTCAAAATTAGTAACTCATATGATCGTGACACGTGTCAAGTCTATCGATATGAGTTAACACGTATAAAAAGAGAAATTATATAAATATTATGTGATTATTTGATTTAACATTTATATTATTTATTTTAATTTCCTTTCCAATTAGAATATGTAAAAGAAATTTTTTTGAGTCAGCAAGTGTTTAAAAAACTATGCAAAAGTGAAAGTAACAATACTTATAGTTAGCGTAATGTCTTCACTGAAACATTTTGTATGTGATGGTGGTAAAGATCATACTTTCACAGTAACTGTAATACACATTTTTAGTAATAACATAGATAATAAATTTTTAAATAAATGTAATAAGCGTAATGTTATCGCAGTTTATTCACAAGCCTACCCATGAGAACTGGCAAGCCGCGAAACGAGTGCTACGGTACTTGGCAGGTACGATCATACATGGAATTTTTCTTAATGTCGCATCTCCGATGACGCTTCATGCATATTCGGATGCTGATTGGGGTGGTGACTCTGACGACTATGTCTCCACGAATGGCTACTTCATTTACCTTGGTCGCAATGCTATCTCATGGTCTTCAAAGAAACAACGCGGCGTGGCTCGGTCCTCTACAGAAGCTGAATACCGAGCCGTTGCAAACACCGCCTCTAAGGTACAATGGATATGTTCTTTACTCACTGAGATTAAAATACCCTTCTCTACTCCGCCGGTTATCTATTGTGACAATATTGGTGCAACTAATCTGTGTGCGAAACCGTTCTTCCACTCGCGCATGAAACACATTGCTCTTGACTATCACTTTGTCAGAAATCTAATACAAGCCGGCATGCTACGAGTTTCCCATGTTTCAACACATGATTAGTTGGCTGACACGCTTATGCAGCCACTTCCACGATCACAATTTCAACAAGCGTGCGTCAAGATTGGAGTTACTCGACTACCTCCATCTTGAAGTGGCATATAAGAGTATTATGTAAATAATAAGCTAGGGATCTAAATGCAAATTATGTAAATTAGTTTTACCCTAATCCTCTATTACACTTGTATAAATAGTTGTACGTCACCTCTTTTGATTAATAAGATTCTCTTAATCGTTACAATTATTGTTGTTTCTAAAGCATTTGCTTTTATTGATTGTTGAACCGAGAGTTAAACCAACTAAACCAAGAGACTTAAGTTAATTTAATCCCAAACCAATAACGTAATAACATGGTAACGTCTTATGGATTGTGGGTTTGGCGAAGTGGTGCTTTTGTTTATTACTGTGGAATCATAACTTTTGTTGTGATATTGAGATTGTAAAATTAGACAAGATCCACAAATTTCTTATATAAAATGCTGCTTATATATTTATATAGAGACTACACTTTTGTTTGCATCATTATTGATGAGAATTAATATTATACAATGGTTTTTATGAAACAAAGTCATAAAATTCATATGAAAATGTAAATTCAGCTAAAATTCAAAACTTAACAAACATACATTCAAAAATATATCCTGTGGCGGAGCGCGGGTTTCGCCCTAGTTAATCATAAAAGAGAAAGATGAAAAAGTGAATTTACACTATGCTTTCAAACGAAAGCTTTACACGCTAACAGATTAATAAATTCGTTATTTTCCTTCTCCATAATCAATCTTAATCCAATGAGATCGTCGTTCTTGGCTATCATCTCTTGGATGAAACTCTATGAGTTTAGATTGTCCATGATACTCAATGTTTTCTCTTTCATGTATTCGTCCATTCTTTGTAAAGTTGATTTTCCGGAATCTCATATTCGCCCACCTAGAGACCATTGGATAAGGCCAACTTTAACAAAATCCCAAAATCTCAACAACTTTGCTACCATCATTCTCAGACATTGCATACGATCATTCATAGATCCTCCCAAGAGATAAAGTCGAGTTTTCATCACTATTTTATTACAAATCTCAATTAGAAGAGTAATAGATGCATCTTCAAAACTCATCTTGATATCTTTTGTTGCCCGCCAATTCTTCAAATGGTCAAATTGGAATTAGATTCTTCAATTCTTCAATTTCTGCACAAACTCGAATAAAACAAATCCACATAGTCGAGATTTAGGGCATACGTATGATTTTGTACAAAATATGAATTACATATATGAATTCAAATATTTCATTACTCGAATTATGTTCTAGCACAACAATATAGTGTAAGTGCAAATTTAACGTAATGAAATAGTGAAGTATATAAAAAAAACTTATATCCCTTCTTTGGTTTCGAGAAGCCGACGACCTTGCAAAAAGATCTTTTTCATTCCAAATTGATGTTGGCCGAGCTAATCTAAAAGATCATCTTCTGCCAAGATGGACATACAAATATGATAAATTGATGAAAGTAACTCAAACTCTGGGTTATCTGAGTAAGTTCATTGATGATTGGTTGCTACATCATATAACATAGCTCTTATGTATATTTAAGCATTTACAATCACTTATATTACATTTATTTTGTAGATACGTGGAGCACAAATTGCGGTCTCTCCATCCCTAGATTAGTTGTGGTCCGCAAGATTTGACAAAGAAGAACTATGATGTTGTGGGATGTTTTCAGTTTTTTTTTTTGGTATTTAGTTTTGTTGTTTTCAGCTTTTATGCAGATATGTAGTTATAATGTTTTTAATATTATTTGATTAATCATGCAATATTTATGTGTGGAGTTTTCACGTAATGCGACTATGGTAACTACAATTTGCTAGAGTGTGCTTGTGTCATATGATTCGGCGACGCAAAAGATGAGGAAGTTCTTCCGTGTTCGCAGCTATTGATGCTACTACCGAAGGTTACGTGACATTCTCAACATCAAGATTAGCATAATGCCCTGGTCCAAACAAATGCTTTTAAAAAAATTACCTAGAAAGCTACTATCGTGAAGAGTAAAACCAAGTCA